TAACGGATAAGCAACTGCTTAACGGATACGGATAACGGATAAGGACATGGGATATCCGGATAAGCTAAACGGATATCTGGATTATCCGGATCCAAGCACTACCCAAAATGGTTTCGCCTAACAGCACTAGGTTTGTATTTAGAAAATAATAATAAAAAATGCATTTATTGGAGTTTAGTATATATTTAGGCCAGAAAATTATTATGCATTTAAGGAGGCCATGCACTTAGGGGGATGCATTTAGAGGATTCGAGCCTGTGTCTCATAGCACAGTACCCAATGATATATATTTGGGGTTCCATCTATTTCACTGACATATTAAGGTTAGTGTTAGCCAATTTTTATCGGTGAAATGATTGTTAGTGAACTTATTTGGGCAATAAATTAATATGCATTTAAGGTAGCCATGCACTTAGGGGGGATGCATTTAGAGGGCTGACTGTACATCATGAGGATTCGAACCTGTGTCTCATAGCACAGTACCCAAAGATTATAAAAGGCCACAATTTTTTAGTTTTAACTCACTACTTTTACCATGATGATGTTGTTGATTCCCTGCTTGATTGCATTGCTGTTTATTCATTCAATTGTGGCCGAGGTCACTATCACATCTGTACATTCTGCGCGCTTGCCTCCTAATCAATATATTGTCGAAAATCAGCTGCCTCATGCTAATCAATCACACGAACTGGTCAAAGTGGAAGATATCGTCCTTGTTTCGCAAATGGATACCAGTGTCTTGGTAAAAGTTCAAGTCGATAAATATGGCGTCGCTCAACAGGTGACGGGCTTCCAAATTGCAAATCCCACCTCTGGTTTACATGGTTTGGCCCTCTCCACCAAGAACCCTGGCATGGTGTGGCTCACATTAGAAGTGGACAACAAATTGGTTTTGATTGATCCTGTGGCGGCGTCGGCTACGGATGCTCCCAAGGTAATCAAGGAAATTGATGTACCTAAGCCCGGCAATGGTCCTCATTACATTGGTGAATATGAATCTGATCTCTGGGTCAGTCTCAAGGAAAGTTTTGACGTGTTGCGCATCAACTATGAGAATACCACCGATTACAACATTTATAAAGGTGTCCCCCATCCTATTTTTGTCGCCCAACATCCCATCAACAAGATGTTCTATTCTAGTGAAGATGCGTCCAGCAAACTCATGAAAATCAACCCTGAAACTGGCAAAACCACCCAAATCTCTGTCAATGCCAGTGCTGGTACGACCCCCGTTGGCATGATCAGTGGTCCTATGGGTATCTGGTTCACACTTCTTGGTAGTGAGACAGCTGGCACAGGTACCTTTGGTTTTATCGATAAAGACGACAAGATTGTGTACCACAAACTCACGTCTCCCTTGGGCAAGGATGCCGCCTTGTTACATCTTGCATTTGATGTCGCTTACGAAACCAATTACAAGATGTATCTTTTGTCCTCTTCGATCAGCAACCCAAAAGCTTTAGATATGGTTATCAAGGTCACATTTGATAAGCAATGGACCACCATCAAGAATGAAGAAGTCACTGTGATTCCTACTCAGCAATGCGAAGCTCATCGTCTTTTACCTACTCAATTCAATGTCTTTGTCACTGAACTTACTTCCTCCAAAATGTTTACTTTGTTTAGTCCTTAATAAAAGATAAAGTATGGCGTAATAAATAGCTAATTACTACAATTATAGTTTTTATATAGACCTTTATCAAGATATAATTGTAGTAATTATGTAGTAATATAGTAATGTAATAATGATGTAGTAATATAGTAATATAGTAACTGGTAATATAGTAATTATGTAGTAATGTAGTAATTATAATAAAAATCAAAGGTATCCCTACCACTGTAACTTTTTAAATAAAAAAGTTATAATCTTGAAACTTTTACAGTAAATAATATTTAATAGGAATTTGCTAATTTACACCACAGGTAATTATCACTTGTAATAAAATTATCTCAAAATTTTGCTTATAAAACTACTTTTGAAACTCTAAGTAAAAAAATTTCTTGTGAAATTTTACTATAAACCTTGCTAAACCCTAACCCTAATACATTTGTTTTTTTGTATAGTTATATTATACAATTTTATAATAATAATCATAGGTAATTATCACCTGAGATGAAAATTAGTTAATTTCTATTTAATAAATGCTAATCAATAATTTTTTTTATAATTTTTTAAGCATTATAACAAAAGTTAGATAAGAGTTAAAATTTTAATTAATTTATTGACTATATAATATTATATAGAAAATTTTTATTTTTATCTGAGTTAAAATTATTTAAAATATTTTTATTTATTTTAAATTTAGAATAAAGTCTAGAATTTTATCTAGACATTAGTATATACAAAATTTTACAATAATTTTTTTGTTAAAGTCTACTAATACTATTAATTTTAGTTATGCAAATATTATTATAGTTTATTGAATAACTTTAACTTAGATTAAAATAGAATTTTCTAATTATATATCTAATTATAATTGCTAAAAAACTTTGCATATAATCAAAGAAACTCTTATTATAGATCACTTGTACCAAAACTTCTCAAAAACATTTTGTTATAACTAAATATTTTATTAAGTAAACAACCTTTAGGCTACTAAGCAAAATTGTTCTATACAGAATTTAGCTCTAGAATAGCCTAGTTTCATACTTCTTGGACCTCTATATATAAAGTTACTTTACTACAAGTATCAAACAGTTCCTCCAGAAATTTTATAATAATTTACTAAGCTAACAGCTCTTGTTCACTAATAGAGTTGTGTCCAGCACTCCACTAGCTTCATTTTGATATAAATTTTATTTAAAACGAACCAGAACTCAGCAAACAAGCTCCAAAAAACTATCTTAAAGCTTTTTCTAAAACTTACCTATTTTTTATTTTTTTTCATCTTTTTCCTTCAAATCTAGGATTGGGTCACATGACAACCTGGCAAAAAATCATTGGTCAACCTGATAATTACACTAAATTCATTATTACCTTTCTAAGTTATAACTAATTTAATACAAATTAATTAATTACATATTTGGTTCATCTTTAATTACACTAGCCACACAGGTCTAGATCATACAAGTTATACAAGTTACACAAGCTACTTATCATTACATAATACAAACTATACCTCTCTGAAAAGCTCTCTTCGACCTCATTATATATATACAACTTGATACTATTAATATGCCTACTTTAACTAGTAAAGTTCTAGATACTCTTAACTTAGACTACTTTTACAGAAAGTGCTCTGATACTTTTGAAGTAGCTTTCTATAAAGAAGATTTAAAAAACATTACACTAATTCTATTCAAAAGCAAACTAATTACCTGTCTTACTAAAACTCTTCGAAGCAATACCAAAGCTATACACTTCCTTTTTGCTTCTAAAATTTCTACTATTACTTAATGCCTCTGTAGTACTTACTATACTAGCTTTATCTCTGCAAACAATACCAAATACAATATTACTATTCCTAGTTTCATTACTCTTTTTGCAAATTTTAATAACAAAAAAACTAAAGTCTTTCTTCAAAATTTGGAAGGAATTACTGAAAGCATCCTACTATCTCCTACACTAATTTCTTACCAACACATCTGCTTAAAATGCTAGCTTGTTATTAGATGCAAACTTACTAACAATAACTACAGACTAGCTAATGATGCTATATTTCATAAAAATAAAACATATCATTCTGCCTGTCTTCTAAATAATACTACTAACTTTTCTTCTTTTACTAGTTTTAGCTCTACATTCTCAGCAACTCATAATCTTTTTTCTACTAAAAAAGACTTAATCTCTATTTTCCAAAAGCAGCAATAACTCCAAAATCCACTTTCTTTTATGCTAACTCCTCTTATACCAACAACTAATATTAACATCTCTCAACTACTTACTACTACTACTATAGTTACAAAAGAAATTTTATCAAATATAGAAATTGAATTTTCTTCTTCTACTAAAGACAAACAAACTGAAAACCAAACCTCATCAACAAATCCAAACAGTATAGGAATTGACTTATCCAAAACACAAACTCCAAAAAAGAATAACACTAACAATATACTAACTTAACTTACACAAAACAAAACTTTAACTTATACAAATGTTCTATCTAAAGATCTACTGAAATCTTATACTAAAACTAATAAACCTAAATCAAATCTAGTATATGACTGGCTTACTAACTTCCCAATTACAGAGAAAATGAAACCTAATACCAAACTCCAAACCAAGCTATCATTCTAACTTTTTTACTTCCTCAAAGAAAATCTCTCTAACTTTACTCTTGAACAAATATTCTTTAAATATTTTATTCACATAATAGCTAGCTAAAGATCTGAGTTTCTAACAGAACTTATCTACTAAGCAAATCCAAAAATTAATCCAAATACAACAATTTATTTTGATCTTATTGAATCAGTCTTAAAAGATCTACTACTAAAATTTAATACTATCCTATTTACCAAAATGAATTATAAAGAGATTTTTGAATCTTCTATTATTATTCCTCCATATAAAATTTAAAACTATCTCAAAATCTGCTTAAATATGGTATGACTCCATTTCTACCTAACTAACAACTTCTAATCTATTGACTACAAAAAATTTAATAAAGATTTTAAACTCAAACTAAAAAGGTTTAAAATTGATTCCAAAATCGAATACTTTGATCAAGAAAAAGAATACTTTACTATCTCTTCAGAACTAAAATTCAATATTAACATACTATTTAACCTCTCTAAAACTCTTTTCTTTG